ATATTGACCCACAAGTTGATTATTAGAATATTGTGTGAGGTAATAATAATAATATTTCTGGAGACTTCTACAACGCTGGTGTCCACAATTCCGTGCTCATGGGGCTTTTGCCACCCATGCTTGAAAATCAGGGGAGATTAAAAGAAACAGGAAACCAGGTTTGAAACTTGAGTAGGCGGGTCTCGTCAAGCCTGAATTCACCCAGTGAATGGTAGATCAGGGAGTTGTTACAACTCCCTGGGTAGATCAAGCCAACTTGTTAAATTAATTCTAAAAAGATCGACATGTTCAGCAGCCTCAGTGAGTATGGGCAGTTTTTTGTCAAAGTATATTTCAGGGGCGGATCTAGGATTTGAAAGAGGGGGTTTAAAATGTTTCCAAATAAACCCCAAAAAGAAAGGGGGTTTCCGGCGGTCCTCCCCCTGGAAATTTTTGATTCCTAGATGGCCGGAAATAAGCTTTCCCTACTTCTGAGGTTTCTTTTCTTTTTCTCTCTCTTTTGTGGGGATAACTTTTTTAAATAATTTTCTGTTTTATACATATCTATATTTCCTAAAGAGAATAAATATAAAACTTATTGAGTATTCTCATATTTACAACAGTTACGGTTTTCATTTTTTTTTTATAAATAAATTTAATTTCTCAAAGACGGATGCCTAATCCATCCAACATTTGTGATGCACATCTCATAATTAATTACCTCTTTGTTTACAATTATATTTATTTTGCTTTTTTATATATACATATAATTCCAGTATCTAATTGGAATAGTGTTCAATGCCATGCCATACATGGTTACGCCCCAATAGCGGTCTGCAATCCATCATGATGCTCATCTGATGTGTCTTCTAATGATCTTAAATTTCTTCAAAATTCAAGGTTTTCCCCCTCTGGAAAAAGGTCGGGTAATTTTATCCCATTCTTAGGCCTATACATAGAGAAAGAAAATTCAACACATAGGCAATAAATTATTATATTCCAAAAATATTGAGTAGTTGGATATCGTAGTCTTTCTTCCTTGGATCAATAAACCGACAGGCCTGAAGAACGTCGAACAAAAATAGTGTTTTTAATTTTATTTAATTGAATGCTAGTTGGGCTAAGCCTAGTTTGTCCGATCTGCCAACCTATGCCTAGGTATGTTAGTGCCTTTTGTAAGCCATGACCCAGTAGTATTCTGTTAGGTTTCTTCCTGAACAACCCCCACCCCCGAATCCGCCACTGTATTTGATAATGTGGACAGAGATTTGCAATAATAAAATGTCTTTTTTCTTGTTTGTTTGCTGTGTTTTTTTTTGATGGATTTAATTTTTTCTATATTGTAAATCTTAATGTTAAATTCTGTGTTTTTATTGGTGTTGTTAGATGTTGACTCTTATCAGCTTTCATACCGTAAATACAATCCGTAATTGAGTCTTATGGCTTCCTGCTATATAGTTTTTATGTATACAGTATATGTTTTTTTTTTTAAATAAAGACCAATCATAAAAGAATTTATCACTGTGAAAGCATAGGCCTATATGTAAGATTATTATTATTATTATTATTATTATTATTATTATTATTATTATTATTATTATTATTATTATTATTATTATTATTATTATTATTATATTATTATTATTTTTTTTTGTTATTTATTTTACTAAATCATATAAATACAATATAACCATATATGAAAGAACAAGATGTAAAAGCAGCAAATAAATAATTATTCTTACGTACAAGGTTGTTCATGACGTACAGATTATTTTTATTTGAATGAGAGTTCTTTGAACAAAGGAAGAAATTATGCACATGTAACATCATTCCCTATCCTGTGACGTTATGAAACTTATAGGCTAAGGTCTTAACCATAGTGACTAAAAAAGTGACAAGTAGAGACCGCACCAAATTTAGACATGCTATAAAGCCTTTGTTATTGTTGCGTGCATGCTTTGTGCTTGTTTGGTTCATGTTTGTTGCTGAATTATCATGTTTTATGCGTAAATAAATAAACAAATTATTTATAATTTCTTTAATTCTAATTGCAGAATTGACAAAAGGCTCCGGAGGATTTTTTTAAATTATGTATAAAAAGAAGCTTTCTTCCATGGCCTGACTTTAATTTACTGGGGAGATCAACCCTTAAGACTCACTTCCACTTGTAAATAAAATTTTAATAAAAAAAATAACATAGCCTATAGCCTGTGTAAGATGTACAATCCCTTAAAATTTAACAATATCAATACAAATGACAAGCCAAGGACTAATCGTTATTTAACACTGTTTCCAAATTGTTTATTATCATTCAACCTATTAAACTTTATAGGCTTGTTATTTTAGAGCAAACAAATTTTCAGCCGCTGTCAAATTCTTGTTGTTTTTGATTTGCTTACTATTTTTCATTATGAAGCGTTCATGATGATCACACAATCGATCGAATTTTCCCATCTTGTTATCTTACGTACTTTGCTCCTCTGTTTCTTTGATACTTATAGTTCATCACGTGATCCGAGAAGTATATGTTGTGATATTGCAAACTATATATACTGTCTCTTATACACATCTAGATGTGTATAAGAGACAGACCCTATTTCAATTGTTATGAATATTTAGATGTACCTCTAGGCTGGAATTTGATTTTACGAGAGTGGTCCATCCAGCCGGAGCTGATCATTAGGGACCCTCAATTCATAACACAAGTAACAAAGGAAATATAAATAGAAAAACAAAGAAACAAAGAAAAACAAAAATATATATATATAGGCCTATATGTACATATACATAAATAATAATAATAATATACATAGGCATGCATATTTGAAATTTCATTTTTACCATGTTGTTAAAATTACAGTAAAAGAGTATCATATCGTATCATATATAAACAAATGAATAAATAATAACAGTGCTCGAATATGCACACGATGTTATAATCGTATCGGAAACCATTTTTTAAACACGCAGAGTTCTCTACTTAACGCTAAAAATGTACGGTACACTATCATCATAGTAATACCGCATGACGATTTATAGTTTACCTTTTCATTGTACCATGATATATATACATAATTGTATTTATAAGCCTAAATAGGCATATACAATATATATAAATATATATATAGAGGCCTATATAATATTATTATACATATTTATTTTAGTACTGTAGTGTAGGCCTGTTATTTACACGTTAAAACACAGCGTGGAGGATTTAAACGGAAAGCTCCACGCTATGTTGTCTCCTCTTTGGTGACACGTTTAAAAGCTAAACGTGTTTAGGCCAAGCCTAATGTGTTTAGGTTTATGATGTGTTTAGCATTAAATGTGCTTAGGTATTTGACATCATGATGTTAAATACCTAAGCACATTTAATTCAGAACCCGTCAAGATCCTAAGCACAGTAGGTATGTCTAAACACGTTTGGCTTTTAAAAGTGTCCCCAAAAACGGGACAACATTGCGTGGAGCTTTGCATTTAAATCCTCCACGCTGTTTTTACAGTGTAGGTCTATTAATTAACACGCTGGTAGGCTTATTGCACACGCTATCGATATATTCCATAGTCCGTTGAAGGAATGCATTAGTACATTGCCCTAAAGCTCTGCCTAGATTATCAAAAAACTGTTATATGTCCATATATAGTCATGATATATATATATAATATATAATATATATATAATATATATATATATACGGTATATATATGCCTATTATTACACAGGCTAATTAGTGTTAATGGATTTTGTTTCATTTACTTTTAGGACACAATACGATATATGATGTATTATAATTTTAAATCGATGATTTATTATGATAACTATAATGTGTTTTCGATGTAATAACGTGATTATTGATTGAATGGTGTATGTCTATGGAACCACAGATACGTAAGAGTAAGAGGTGAGACACTTATGTTCGATGTGAACATTATTTAGACGCTTCATGAAGCCTGCTTTCAATTCAATTGTGTTAATAATGAAGAGAGTTACATACAGTATACCGTATATATATATATATATACATGTATGTATATATATTTATAATTGATTAATTAATTAACAGAATAAATTAAACTTGTTTACTGCACGTGTAAACTATAGCTAAACTATAGTTGTGTGACTATTGGAAAAACAATATGTAGTGGAATAAAAGTATGAAAAGTATGAAGTATAAATATATATATATATATAAATATATACATATATATTTATATATATGTATATATATATATATAAATATTACATATATATATGTGTATATATAGGCA